TAATTGTGATTAAAAGACCCTGCCTGCTGAGCTCTGCACCGAGTGTCCTATCACCATCAGCCTCCCACCCACAGTAAAATAAATAAAAAGCCTATGGCTAATGTCTCTAAACTGCTTGGAGAAACTTCTGACCTTGCCCTATATCTATAAGACTCGTAGGGCAGCAGGGAGGAAATAGTGCCATTTTCTTCTTGTTTACCTCACCTTACGTAGCTGTTTCTTCTTATGTTAGTAGAAAGTTTACAGATTTTTGCTGTAGAAAAATCTGGGCATAGTCCTGATGTAGAATCTGGCAAACACTTTGAATGGTATAGGATTTATAACTGGGGGTAAATGCCAACAAAATTTATGATTGTGAATAGGTATCTAAGCAGTCTTTGAATGTTGCTGAATTTAGGTGTTCGCCGAGCTTCTGCTGTCTTTTTACTGCAGATTTTTTTTTAATAAATCATACTTTCTACTTAATTTTACTTTAAAAGCTAAAGACTACTAGCTACAAAGAAATTGTGTATTGCTTCTAAAACTATTTAAATTCAATATCTAGAAATTCCTGTATTAATCAAAACATTGTATATGATCTGAAGTGGGAAAGCTAAGGTTTTGGGAAGCTAAATGATTTGACAAAAAACCTGAGGGCTAGCTTGATAAATCTTCAGTGGGCTATGTTTATGTGAAGTCTTAACACATGCTGTCATCTCTGTTATCACGAGATGTTTAAGTGCTGTTGGAACAATGCAGGACACTGGAATCTGCTTAGCATGTTTGTTATGTTTTGCTCAAAGAATTGAAAGAATTGATTGCCTTAGTCTGTGGAAGGGGGGAGGAGGGGGGGCAGCAGGGGCGGAGAACAGCAGTGGTACCTTAAGGCTGCTGTATGTTATAGCTGTATCAGATGAAAATATATGGCAGAAATTTTGAGTGTAAATGTTTCCTTTTTATTTTAGGCTTATGGTATGTCAGCTTTGCCTCTAAACTTGATTAAAGGAACTACTAGTGCAGCTTATGAACGTTTAGAGAACACTGAAGATATTGAAGAAGTGGAACAACATTTATTAAGGATTAAATCAAAGGTATGGTCCTCACTGTTCACCTTTCTTAATGAATTTTTTCTTGCTTGCTTACTAGTTTATGGTCATGGTGTAGAGAGTTCTTGCTCCAATAAGAATAGCAAATCAGAAGTGACTAGCTTGCAGTTATTTGGAAACAAATGTGGTTACTTGTATAGTAGAGATCAGGTTTTATCAGTCCTGAAGTAGTAGTTACTTCTTTCTAGCTAATAATGGTGCTGATGAGCTAAACTCAAACTTCTCTAGTCCTTCTTGGATATATGCCAGAGGTACTTTGTAGAAGTTAATATTCTTAACTTCACTGAGTCTGCTACCAGATATGGCATCCAATTTGCTGATCCTTGCTCAGTGTAGTTATCAACACTGGATACTTGCCACATGGAGCTGTCAGAAGTTAGATTCATCAAACTATTAATCATCTTCATGAATAAATAACAGCCCTAGATATTCTTGCTTTGCGGTTAATATACCTTGCTGTTATACACTTTTCATAAAAAAATTATTTATATATGGAAATTCTGAATCCTAAACATCCCTAGGATGTTAACACCATTTGTAAACCCATGATGGCTTTGTAGCTCACTGAAACGCTGTGCCTAATGTAAGCAGTATACTTAACAACCAAAGAGCACGAGCTGAAGGAGGATAAGATTTCTCCTTTACATACAAGATGCAAGGGATAATCTCCTACTCTTTTCCCAACCCATTTCAGATCATGATTTGACTGGTGTTTTCCCAGCTCTGAGTGGGGGGGAAGGGGCATTACGATGTATCACTTTTGTCCTGGCAGTCCATCTGTGCCGTTGTGTGCTCTGTGAGAGTAGACCTCAGCAGTGTTGAGACATTTCCAACAGTCCTCCCTTGTGATACTTGGCTGCCTCCACACAGTGTGGGGATCTTCAGTGTTCTGGAAATCTTGTTGCATAATGAAACCTAAAAAGTAGTCTCCCCCACTTTAAATTGTAAAGTTTTGGTTTTATACAGTGCTACTCTAACAAAAGCATCCGTATTACTGAAATCAATATGAGAAAAATGAGAAATCCCTGAAAAATGGACCATTACTTATTACAGAAGACTGTGTTGGATTATCAGAGTTTGCAAGCAACTGGTCTTGTTGTTTGATCTAGCTAACAAATAGGCTCAAAATGTAGGAAGTCTTTAAGTTACATCTATATTTTAATGTGACCATTAGCATAAACTAATTTTCCTTGCTCTGGCAGGGGGGTTGGACTAGATGATCTCCAGAGGTCCCTTCCAATCCTGACCATTCTGTGATTCTGTGATTATGGTCAGGTTTCTACCTCAGTGTGTAATTGAAATCTTAGATCTTCAGTTACATTTGCATGAAGTTCTAAAGAGGTTGTTACTGAGGGTAATGTACAATGAAACTAGAAGTATGAAAGTATGCTATGTAATCTAATGAAAAGATTCAGTACATAATATGGTTTTCTGCTGTTAGTACACCTGGTAGCTTTTTTTCATTAGTCTTAAACAATCAAAGCTTGAACTTGCAGCTTGCGAGCTTGGAATGTTTTCAAAAAGTCTTTTTCAAATCACCCAATTTATTACATGTGCATAGAATGTGGTCTTAATCTTGTAACCTTTTTGAGAAATTTATCTAGAATAGATTTTTCTAACTTCACCTGGTGTGAAGTGTTTCAGTATTTGCAGGAAGGCTCTTATTTTATAAGCAAAAAAAAAAAATTGAATAGGGAATTACAAAATAAAAAATATATTGGGAGATATGCTAAAACTACAAGAATCTCTTGTTTTTATTTAAGGATCAGGGTTTTTTTATACAGTAACATCAATGTTAGAAACAATTCTGGTTCAGTTACCTAATGCCTATTTTGTTGCTTTTGCTTATTAGTGTATAACTGTGGTTTAAGGATGTGCTACTCGATTTACAACAGAGTGCAATGGTACTTGATCAGTATTAGAGGCTTAGAATCAATGTACATTCTTAAATATAATCATCAAACCAACAATTATCTGGTACACTCAACTAATCCTTGGGGCAATGGTGCCTCTTGTTTGGATTCATATAAGGTTAATTTTCGGAGCAGCAAGTCATATTGCTCTTTCCAAGTACAAGAAACATAGCTGAGTATCTGTAGTGGAATGCTAGAAAGAAAATACAGATGCCAAACTTAAATTCCATGACTAAGCCAATAATTGAAGAGAAGAGAGCTCTGAAAGTCATCAGGTTCAACCCTCTACGCAAAGCAAGGACCAGTTTCAGGTTAGATCAGGTTATACAGATCAGATCTAGGCATTTTAATTGTTTCTAGCCATGGAGACTGCCCAACGTGTTAAAACTTTTGTCATCCTCATTCTGAAGAGTGTCTTCTACTACCTACTAGGAATTCCCCTTGTTACAGCTTGTGACTCTTGCACTTCATCCTCTTGCTATGCATAGAAAGTGTGAATTATATACTACAAAGTCTTTACAGTTGTTGTAACTCGTTAAACTAGATGTCAGGTCTAGTTTCTGGATTCAGTTTTGTGATCTCTTGATCTCTTGCACTGTTTTTTGGTAACCAGTGCAGAGATGGTCGACCTCTGTCATCAAGGGATAGACGAACTGTACAACAACTAGAAGAGAGACTAAGGACACTTCGAAGAAGAGAGAGGCATCTGGAGTCCATTGAGAAAAGCTGGTGGACAAAGTTCTGTGAAGCTATCCGACCTCTAAAGGTAAAAGTTTTTCTCACTTTTTGAGACTTAGATTGGAATAACTTTGAGGTTTCTTCTTCCTATATAAATTGTAGGTCAAGCTTATCAATTACCATCCTGAATATCAATTACTTATTCTTTTAGTTATTATTGTACTGCATAATGACAGCCCAATAGCAAGCTCTGTTTGAACTCTTGGAAAACCTCTTATTTTGCCTAAAATATGATTAAGATTGAAAAGGAGCAAGTCCTAGCTGATCCACTGTAGTGTGACTGCCAGAGAAAATCTCAATGTCGTCGCTTCTCGGGCATATTAAAAATAGGAAGAAGGGAAGGAAGAATTCTTTAGCTGTCAGGTAGCTTAGGTTAATCTAAATTACCTGTAGTCAGTAGAAGTGAGAGATGCTTTGAGAATATATGCATTTGGAATGAGCATCTTGCCAAGTAATTGCTTGATCAATAGTAAGCTAGCTGTGTAGAACTTACATCTTGATACTTAACCAGTGCAAAGGAAACTGTTACTGGGGAAAAGCTTTGATCTTGGTCTCTTTTTGATCTTAGGACTTTGATTTTAGTAGATACCTGGTTTTAAAACCCAGTACTTCTATGGAACAGTATTGCTGTATAAAGTATTTTTTGCCAGCTATATGTAGGAAGAAATTTTAGCATTACGTGACTTTAAACTGTAGGCTGCGCTTTGAAAAGCTGAGGGTGGGGGGGCTGTAAGCAATTTCCTCTAACATAGTTGCTACTGTTAATGCTGAGTACCAATGGGAACGGGCTGAAATTGCAGTTGAACAAAAACTTTCAATTGGAAATTCTTAGCGGAGTTATCTTTCTATGACACGTTAGAAATCTAAACTTAGCCCTTTCATTTAAAGGACAAATAACCCTAATTATTCACTTTAACAGTTTGGATGCTTCCTTTGATTTAAAAGAGCCTGTCTAGTTTCTTTAACTGTGATAAATTCATTGGCCATATCTATTGTCTGTAGGACTTTAACAGTTCATTGTGTTCTCATGGGACAATGTACAATATCATGAGTTTCTTAGATTGTCACTTAAGGTCAAGATGGTACTCCAGTGCCTCTTTGTTCTTGATTTGAATGCTTTTTATTGTCTCAGTAACTGTGACAGTCACTGTGAATTGTTGACTTAAGAATCGCAGACTAAAAGGGAGTTGCAAGTGGATAATTTTTCGTGACACTTTTTCACTTAGAATAGGGTTGTGCTATGAAGAATATTATAAAACTTGTTTACTTTGACTTTTCCGGTCCTGTGAATGTCCTAATGTCCATCATTTAATTCATAACATCTTAATTCTGCAGGACTGCTTTACTGTTACTTTAATAGCATTTGAGTTGTCTTTGCACATATGTAACTTGTCAGTCGTTCAATTAGTTCTTTCATGAAAAGAAAAATTTTTTTATATCCATATATAATACTTCTGATCAATGTAAAAATGCAGAAAATACCTTGGAGCTTTGCTTATTGCTTTTGCAACACTTAAATTCTATCTTTCTACATTATTGTTCAAGAATATGGCCATTTCTCAAACTTCAGGGGAAATTCCATTTGTTGTGAGGCAAGCTCGAGATATGGAGAACACTTTCTGCTTTGTATTTGGGATGGTCAGGTTTATGGGAGTTGCAGAGTCTTACGGGGACTGTGACAGAACAGAACAATGTGTTTGTGAATAACACTTAGTCTTGGAAATCTTTTACAGTGTTAACTTAGTATGTACATTTAGACTTCTGTAGTCATATTGTCTTTTCGTAGTGCCCTCTTATATTCTTGCTTTAATCATTTTGTTACCACTAAATACTTGTTAGCATGTGATTTGTTGGTAAAGCCAAAACGTTTTTCTCTGAAGAGTAAGCTTTCTTGGATGTGGAGTAAAGTAAATTGAGAAGTCTTGTTTTACTCACAGCTAAATCAAACTTGAAGATGAAGCTGTTAATTTTTCAATTTAGTCAAAAGCAACACCTGGAAGATCCCAAGTAAATGAGTGATGGTCAGCATGGGGTTGTCAAGTGATGTCAAACTAGTCTAATTTATTTCTACAAAATGTAGCCTTTCCTGCAGATACCAAATCTACTGCTTCTCCTTTCTTTACTGTGGTTTCTCACATTCTCATCTGATACTCTCAGAAGCAAGAGAAATTTGGTGTATTCTAGGGATAGGTATAAAAACTGTTTAGTGGGGGGGGAGGAACCACAAACAAACCAAACAACCAACTCCAGAGCACATAGTTATGTTTGCCGAATACATGAACAAGACTATAGGTTGTGAAATGTGGAAGTCCACTCAACAGTGCTAAGTTTGGGGTATTGCATCAGTTTTTCATGGGTTACTTCAAAACAATTGTGAGCCAACTGAAGAGATGCCTAAGGTGAGTAATATTAAGTGCTCATTTTGAAGATGGAGACCTATGTGAACAGAGCATGCTTGTGTGGCTTAGCCACAGGGGATTTAAATGCACTGACATCAGTCCAAGTACATAGAAGGTGCTACAAAGAGAACAGTCTTCTCTTGATATAGTGGTACGCTTGAACTCTAGCAAGGGAGAGAAACTGTTCTCCTACCTAATCTTAAGGATAATGAGGACTTTGTATAGATGTGTCAGTCTTTCCACCTGCTGCTGAAGGCCTTTAGAGAAGCATAGGTATAGTTAATGCTGTCTTGAGGGTGGAAGGTTAGGGTATTCTTCTTTTTAATATGGGCTTTTGATTTCTTCCCCTCCACCTGCCTTCTCTAGAGAGAGCTGAAAGAGGGGAAACTGTAGGCAATGGCTTGGATAACAGCCATGCTGGCAGAGCGTTAGTGCAGACTGTAGGTGCTGTCAGGAGTCAGTTTAGCTGCCTCGTAGAGGTGGTGTGGCTTAACTGAAAGGCTTTCTTCCTGCCTTGGCAGCTGCAGCTTCTGCATCAGGGAGGCTGGCAGCATGACAAGCAAGAGGTGTGACTATTTTATGTCCTAAGTTTACATAGTGATAACTTAGTGTTAAGTGTGTTGCTTCATCTAACAATTGTTTTTAACCCATGTTTGCCAGGTTACCTGAAACTTCCTGACAAGTAGGTTGTGTCACGCAATAATGCGGTGGGTTGACCTGACTGGCTGCTAAATGCCCACCTAGCTGCGCTCTCGTTCCCCATCAACAGGATGGGGGAGACAGCAAGATGGAAGAAATGTGTGGGTTGAGATAGACAGGGCAATCACTTGCCAGTTACCATCATGGGCAAAGCAGACTTGAATTAAAATTGTTCTGAATAGTGAAAAACAAAGACCATTTAAAACACCTTCTTGCCCCACACCCATTCTTTCCCATGCTCAGCTTCAACCCTTTAGTCCTGACTCTGGAGTGGCACAGTGAGGATGGGGAATAGGGGGTTGCCATCACTCCATAACTCCCCTTCTTTGCTGCTTCCTCCTCACATTTTGTCCTTTTTCCAGCATGGGTCTACTCCATGGGCTGTACTCCCTCTCAGAAGAACCCACTTCAGCATGTGTGATCTCTATGGGCTGCAGCTTCCTTCACAAAACATCCACTTGTTCTGGTGTGGGGCCCTCCATGGGCTGAGTGTGGTTACGTGGTCCAGCATGGCCCTCTTAAAGGGCTAAGGGGGGATGTCTGCTGCAATGCCTGGAGCAGCACCTCCTTCTCCGAGCTTGGTGTCTGCGGGGCTGTTTCTCACTTTTTCCTCTCACTCCTCTCTACTGCCTTGTATTTTGCCCGTACTTAGATCAGTTTTCCTAGAGGGGCCACCAGCTTGGCTGCTGGGCTCAGCTTTGACCAGCAGCGGGCCAGTTGGAGCCAACTGGAAATGGCTCTATCCAGCACAGGGCAGCTGCTGGCCTCTCCTCAGAGAGGATACCCATGCAGCCCCCTGCTACGAAAACGTCACCATGTAAACCCAATACTAATAGTAAGTCTTGCCCATGAGGAATCCAGCTTTGGCTTCTTGGTCAGTATGACAGTTTAATAAAGTGCCACCAGTTTTCTTTACTCTGTTAATTGATACCAGCCCTGAGAGGATGACTGCCCTTATAAATTTTTGTGTTGCTTCAGTGTTAGTTCAAAGTCATGGAATAGCTGTCCTAAGCATATTCAGTTTCTTCTTTTGTTGGTATATGAGTACCACTGTAGGAAACAATTGGGCAGGTGAGTTTTCTTTTAGCTTTTTGGAGAGATGACTATTAATGATTGTTGGAAGTTAATTTTGAAGCTTTTTAAAGTACCATTTCAGTTTGTG